CATGTGTACCAGTCTTTTCTATCCCATTTTGCTGATAAATTTTGTTTCACATCACTGGTACTAAACTGTGGCTCACCATATCTTGTAAATAAAAAAGACATAATAATTTTGTTCCCAGTTCTTGACTGGAACCCCTTACACCTGTAAAACCATCTTGTGCATGGCCAGAAATGACACATGCCTTGATTTTGTTAGGGATTTCTGCTCTCTATGGCCTTCAAATGGAAGTTCTGTCTCTAATGATTTATATAGGGGGCTAATTAATTCATTAACTGTAAAACACTTTTAATGCTTTGATAGGTTCCCATTACTTCTTCCAATTCTGGATCCTGATTGGGCCACAGATAAGATGGTTAACGCTATTTTGCGTAATCAAACCATCTTGTACCTTCCAAGAATACTGACCCTCTTCCTTTGGATTAAAAGGTGAGTGATGTGGAAAATAAAATGAAGTAAGATTAAGTAAATAGAATCTGCAATGGCAATTCCCACAGAAAGAGATGTCCATTGTTTCAAGTTCAAGATTGCACTAGAATTTGGAAGTGTTGGTTTTGTTGGAGGGAGAAAAATTGGGGGACCCAGAGCAAAACTCTCTGAGTAAGGCAAGAACTGACAACAAACACAACCCACTTTTGATACTGCAGAGTCCAGGATTTGAATCCAGGCAGCATTGGTTGGAGGTACCCAATCATTATCACCTCCACCCGATCCCTGCTCTCTATGACCAAATCAGTTAAAAATGATTTTTAGCCTATTAGGGGTGGCAAATGATCCTTAATGAAATATGCTTCCCAAAATAATTAACAATTCACCAGGTTTAAAGGAAGGGTTTCATGTTTCGGCGCATTTCTGTATTATTTATTTGCCTGTGCATGCTTGTTGGGATAGGCCCAGTTTTTCATTGTTTATGAACCAATGCTAAGCAAGCTACCTAATTTTGCATGCAAATAGCAGTAGAATCATCAACCGTAGAAAAAATCTTACAGGCCAAAACTAAATTCAACAGGCAACAGCATTGGTAAAATTGCTGACATCTTATGAAACTAAAATGTTCTTACTTTTCCCCCCAAAAGTGTCGAAACATGGCCAAAATATGTCTGACAAATGTATTTTATGCGCTTCCCTTCATATTACCCAGGATATTTAGTGACCCCTATGGGAGACCGGGAGATTCAGTCTCTATCCCGGCGACTCCATGCCAGTTACATGTATTCTTGGAGAGTTGGCATAGATGGTAATTCACCCACTGACAACTCTCATGAACCAATACTCTCTCTTACATAGCATTTTAAGAGCAATGTTTTCAAAGCATTCTCATACATTGTCTTAAACAGCAGAATTTCTAATGCAATTGCCAACAACATAATATCAGGTAGATTGACATATGCAATATCTGGGTCGGCTGTGCTCAGGGAGCTGGTCAACTGCAGTGCTACGGAGTTCACAAAGTGAAGATTCTTTACACTTAATGTGACTTTTAACATTTTAAATTTGTGATGACATTTGTCTTTACAGCACTGTTCCAATCTCGACATACCACACTCTAGCAGAGTTCTTTGGAACCAATGCCTGTATGGATGGGTTTAAAGGAAGACCAAAGAAAACAGACTAACTTTGCACAATTTTAACTGCTTCTGTCAGCCTGACAGATGTATAATTTGTAGAGTGTGCTTTGTAATGTTTTGAGATCTTGTGTGGTAATATTCTGAGATTTTTTGCCTTCTAGATAGTTTTCTAGATGTCGTAAATTGTCTATGAAATGAAAAGCAAATGAAGCTATGAATTGCGATTTCTTTCTTAACAAGGATCATCAGTGTTCCCTTTGTTATTGTTATATTTTATCTTGTTTTAGAGAAATTTTCATTTTAATATCTGCCCAAACATTGAACCATGTTTCTTAATCTTTTATTTCCAGAAACATTAAGGGTGCCTCTTAGGGCTTTATTTTAGAAACCTTTCCAAACATTG